GGTATGAAACCGAATTGTTCAGGGGAGATGAGAGAAGAGGCAGCAATCCCCAGACGGTTAGCCATGATTTTAGTAAAAAGTATAGTATCAGTGTTGGTGAGAGAAATGGGGCGCCAGTTGGCCAAGTCCAGCTTATACCCTTTTTGAATAGCGTAATGGTGTAAGCCTCTTGCCCTCCTTGTAGGAGGCGCGTTTCCAAGAGGCATTGGTTAAGTGAGGCAATCAGCAATGGGGATAAATCCTTAAAATACTTCTTATAGAATTTATAAGGCTGCCGTCTGGGCCTTAGCATTTCCTATATGGTGCACCACAAATGGCGGACCAGAGTTTGTCCCAAGTAATCAAATTAATCAACTCTGTGAAACAGGAAACAGTGAGGATGTGTGCACTATTGAGAAAGTTTGCCATTTCAGCCAGCTGAATTGGTTTGGATCAATACAACTCAGAGTATTAGTTTTGTATTTTAATCATCACTTCATCTGGCATATCCGCTATGGAATTGTCTGGACTTTGCGCCTGTGCGCAGGCCAAGCTCTGGCGCAGTGCAAATAATTTTCAAAAAATAGTAAGCAGATCATGTGTCACCCACTGTAATGTGTTTAGCTCTGTACTGAACAAAAACCTGATGCTTGTGTTGTCTCACTAGAGCGTTAAGATGGGTGGCTACTTCCGCCCACTTACAATTCCAAGCTGGGCTGTAGCCCGCAGCTGGGACGTTGGACTCCAGGTGGGCCAACTCTGCCAGAGCGCGCAAAATGACCGCCAAGTTGGACCGTGAGTGGCGGGAGGAAGGGTGGTGAGCCTGGCAGATTGTGATCGCCTTGAAGGTAGACCAAGTGGAAATTGGATCATCATAAAATGGTGTAATAAACTCTGGAGCTGTGGTTGCAGATTCCACCCATGAGGAAAATCTTGGTGATGTGATTTCAGCCAGGCAAAGTTTGCACCATTTTGGAGTCCAAGCTGCTGGGTTGGATAAATGGAAGGAGATTGATACCATCCTGTGGTCAGATAGATTGATTTTTGTCATGGTGAAATGGAAGATTTGGGTACAAAACTTCAACAGTGTAAGGATAAGGTCAATATAGGACATGGACCTTAACTGGCCTTTGTGGATGTGGGGGCGTGACATGTTTTCAAGTAGTGGAGCATGACGCGGCAAAGTATTGACCAACCCTAAGGTGGCTTTGAGAACTCAGAGTTCTACGTGACCCTGTGGGGGTGAAGGTGATGAGGGCCAGCGGTCTGTGGATGGGCTCAACCAGCAGTTCATGTCGCCAATGACAAAAGGGTCAGGGGGCAACGGAATGGAATTGACCAATAAGAAAAATTCCTGACGTTATCATGCACAGGTTGGGGCATAAATGTTGATGATAGCGTGCACTTCGTCATCCCACAAAAAAGTGACAACAAGGACTTGACCATTAAGGAAGGAGTCTGACAGTATAAATTTGAAATTTTTGTTCATTCAAACAGCACCCCACAGTGCTTGGAATAGAAGGAAAGGGAAGGGAGGAGCATGGATTTTAATGTTTCCTCAGAACTGTGCAGACAGTGGGTTTCCTGAATGGCCAGGATGTCCAAAGGTAAATTATGTTGTAAAAAACTCAATTTTCTAGCCCCCCATGGTGAGGCCTTGAGTCCAGCGATGTTCAACGTCCCTAAAGTAAAGGCTCCCCCTATCACACCTTAGGTGCGAGGGGAAGGGCACCTGAGCCCTTCAGCCTCCTCACCTTCTTCATGTCGCTTGGTGGCACCCCGGGTATGTGATGCTACTGTGTAATTGATGGTATGGGTAGCTTTAGCAGTTGGGTTCACTTTAGCTTTTTCTTCACTTTTACCCCACTGTAAGATGAGATTTTTATGGTGTACATGCATTTTCAGTGCACCATCGCTTGGAAGTGGATTATTGGCAGTAAAGTTGGTGACCAATTCAGCCCCAATCAATGCTTGGGCACATTGGTTGGGTGAAACCAACTCACCCAATGGGTTCTCAGCTTGGGAGGCCCAATCAGCTTGGCATCCCAATCTGATTGGTCAAGGGATTTGTGAGCTGCTTCCACTGCAAAAGTCTCAATGTCCTCCTGGAGCTGAAAGTGCGGGATAGCGGAAGCAGTCTTGGCCGCCTCCTTGGCCACTGCCTTGTGGGCCTGTTTGGCCTTCTTTCGCTCTTATGGGATATTGGCTTTACTATGATTTAGCATCCTTGCGCTCCCCATGGGAAGGCTGCCTAAGTGTTGGAGGTCAGTTCATAGTGGGCTTCTCCTCCACCCATTGAATCTGAGGGAAACTCTTGATATGTAATGCCCTTCTTGGCGGGGAAGGTGTGGGCCTTGTGGCCAAAAGCGCTACAGAAAGCACAGATGGGAGGTGTGCTGTCCACGGTGACCCTGAAAGGGTGGGTGTCATGCCCCTCGATGTTGATAAAAGCAGTATGTGGGATTTGGATCAGATCCTTCACTATCCCCTCAGCTGGGGTTAGGACTACAATTGCTTTGCCCATGCACATGTTTTGCATTAGCATAAAGCGCTGCATTTCAAATGATTGTATTTCGCCATATATAGTGAGCCCAGCCTTCAGGTGTTGTTCAAGTATGGTGCATTTGACTGTAGTGGGCAGAAAGTCGAAAGTTACAAAAATTTGATTTGATTTTGTCCAATGGGTGCGCTTAGTTTCAATGACCTGCTGACCATCCAGGAGGTCTACTACCATATGCACCATTGCGGCTTCATCTGCCACTTCCTTACTAACAAAGCCTAGATCCAGCCAACTGCATGACATAGAATGAGGTGTGACAAACACCACGTTTGGGAAAAGAGTGTGTACATCCCCACAAAACTTATCCCATAGCGCCGTCTGCTGAACATCCAGGAATACCCACACTCTGTGTTCCACTGATGAGAGTGGTTGGGAGTGCAGCATATTGATGTACTGGTTGCATCGCACTTGCCAAGCTAAAATTTCTGGGAAATGGTAACCGCCACTTTTTTATTAAGTTTATCTAGTCCCCTGGGCTCGCCAGGGCGTTTGCAAAATTTGGATGTCGCAGGGCCAACACTTGTGCCCTTGACTTTACTCGCCCAACTGCTCCTCAACATTGGGCGCCAACTAATCTCCTTGGTGAGATTATAGAACTTTTTACCAGACTTGAGTTGAATTTTTTTGCAAAAGTGTTTGCAACGAGAGAGAAGATTTTTTGATTTTCATATTCAATACTATATTATTTTATAGGTAAGATTTTGCTTACTATTAAAAAACTTGAGTTTAGAAATACTCAAAGTATGCTACTACCACCAATGGTATTCTGATCTAGTTAGCTAGATTAGGCTTAGTCCCATGCAAAATGACCACGTCCCATCCCCCTCAATCTCTAATTTATTCAGTTTACCCAAATCAACTTCCTTGTTGGTCATCTTTTTTTGGATAAATCTATTAAAGATATCTTTTATGAACCTTTAGTTGTACTATCTGTGGACCTCCTCAAGGAAGTATTTATAACATATGCTTGAATATACTCCTAAAAATATATGTTAGATTGTTTCCACTGATGGTGCAGTGTATATCACTTAGCATTAAGGGTTCTAAAAAGTCTAGACTCTACATTAAAAAGGTCATAAACTTTCTAATAGGAGAACAATGCATTCTCTTTTAGTATTTAGCGGTTTAACTAATCACTATATACTCTATGGGGTCAACCTCATCATAGACACCGTTGTCATGTTTTGATGGCATCTGGTTCTAGTAGTAGTTATAGTTTAATTGGTCTAAATTTTTATCAATTCTTTGGATTATGAAAGATTACAGTCACTCTCCTTAAACCACAAAAGATCATAAAACCTGAGTTTATGCTTACTCAAGTAGAAAGTATGCATTAAGAGTTTATTTTGATACTTTAGAGGACTAATTCTTATATGGATGTTAGACCATCAATGTAAGTCCCAGGGAGTACCCCTGAGCCTCAATCATGATAAGTTCCCATTATGGACAAAGAAGGCAGCTAAGAAGGCAGCTGTCCCTCTCGTTTCTCAGGGAAACTTAGCCCACATGGTAGATGAGAGGTGGCGACAGCCTACCTGCTGAATATTGCTCTCCTGTCTCCCATAAAATCACCAAGGAGTTGGTGCAGAAAATTTGTAAGTTGTGTCTGGAGGTGGTGTTGGCAAGAAGCCAATGCAAGTGGAGACTGGTGACCGCTCCTCTTCCTCAGTAATTATGGGCCCAATATGGGAATCTTTAAATTAACAAGTTAGTTCCCAATGTGATTGAATAATCCATTGTACGCTTGGATTTGAAACACCATTAATCCATTTCTGCTCCGCTGGAAAAGGTAAGTCAATCCTTACCAGTTTTAAGCTGATAGTCTCTTCAACATGCAATGGGACCTCTCATACATACTGTAAGGATTTTTCCCAATAGATTCCTCCCATAGTTTCTGAGATTAGGGGTCAGCTCATCTTGGAGTGGTGTCTGGTTAATCACCTAGATTTAATGATATTAAATATAAGTTGCTTATTTGTGCTCTCCAATTGGTTGGATTGAGCTATTTTAAAGTATCCACTGGTTTCTGGGAATTTCATGGCAAATCCACTGATATCAGATGTAATATTTAAATATCTGGTGATTTATTCTAAGGATAATTAATATTATATTAATTCAAAAGTATTTACCACAACTTATGCCAAGGATAATTGACATAGTAAATTTAATTAGGTTTATCAGTTTATTATCATTTGATGCCTAAGTGGTTGTAATCATTGGTGACTGATGCCAATGATAATTGGATTAATGATTGACTAGTGATTTATGCTGAGGATAATCATATTTTTCAGCTTTGATGCTGAGATTTCCAATAAATGGGCATTTGATTGCCATTTTGCTGCCTAAAAATTCAGAATAACTGGCAACTAAGGCTGATGATGTTCAACTAAATTTGAGTAATAATTTGTATATGATTAAACAGCAATTAACGTCAATGGTGAATTGAATTATTATTTGGCAGATAGGGGTAGAAGGCAAGTTGGTAGGACATATGGCTACTGACTTGAAGGTTGTGGGTTCGATTCCCACCCTTCACACATCAATTGAGGTGCCAGCCAAAGGAAGCTATTGGCGGTTAGTAGGCCTAACAGCATGAAAACTTCACCCAATGATGTAACAGAAAAAATTTAATACTGACATTGGCATTGATAAAATCACTTTGATGAAGTTGAACCTGCTCAGTTTTCATATCAATGTTTTCTATTCAGTAATGTCTGTCCCCTGGTTGGCTTGCCTCAAATAAATTTCAAGGATTTTGTATTTGGTAGATGAACAGGATGAGTTTTGAGGGGACAGTTGCTAGAGGAAGTGCTTATGATAGGCTGGGTTGCTGGAAATGAATGAAAATGATTGTTGACATGTAAGAAGCGGGTTGCTTGAGAAAAACCTAAGTATAAATACCCTTAATTCCAAATTAATAAAGATCTTACTTTCTACCACATTTATTCTTGTAAGTAGGAAGGGTATCTTGAATTGCAGATGTGGAACTGAAGAACCCCAAGGTTAGGTGCTGGGTGATTGAATCTAGGGCGGTGGTAAATACCAACTCAATACCTGGAGCTGCAAGGAAGCCCCACGTGGACTTGCCCAATTGGTCACCACAATGAGGATTGACTGGGAATAACCTCAAGGGGGATGGTGGCACATGAGTTTGGCTACTGGGGAAGAGAGCTGAGGGCTCACAGTGTGCTTCCTTAGGTGGTTAATTAGCTCAAGATGAAACTTGTTGCCTGATGGTTTGGAAAGTTAAAATGCAGACTTGTAATAAAAAGGTACCCAATGAAGGTGAAACAGAAAGGGTCAACAGTACTTATATTGTTTCCTGGAACAATAATGGAGCTCCTGATATAGAAAATGTGAAATTTATGCCACATACGCTGGCCATGGGTGCACCCAGTCATCTAATAGGTGAAGTGACACCAATATGTCAAGCAAATTTTTGACAGGAGAAAATTTTAGTAGATAAATTAGATCCTAAGTTGACTGGCCAAAATTGATACTAATCTGACATCATGAGGATTTTAAGGTTTTAATCTTCTGAAAAAAATCTGTGATTGTGTTACCAACAGATAATGGAAGTTTCATTATTCCCCAAGCCCTAGCATTTAAGACAACTGTCCTCACAGGTACAGTTGACATTCAATTTTGTATGAGAAAAAATTAAAATTTAAAAATTTACTATTCATTATTTGATCTATCCATTAGCTGAACTCTTGTCTGGTGCCATGTTTTCTGGTCTATGTAATGACTGGGCCATAGTGGCCATAATCACTACATTGTTGTCCTCCTTTCTCAAATGAAGATATCAATATGGTGATCACCTGAGGTTGACCCCATTCTGGAAGCAGTGTGGCGCCAAGAGGTATGCTTATTCCTTGAGGTAATTCCCACTCAGTTGGCTAAGTTTTGCAGCACTTCTGCATCCTTGAGCCCTTGTGTTCCTGTACCAGATTCTGGTTTTTGTGGGACCAAGTAAACAACTTCAACGGAATCTGCAGCCAATTTTACTGCAGCAGTCTGGTTTCTGCGGGTATGTTAGCAACAGTGATCATCAATTGTCATCCTGCAGTTGTTCCCTTCCCAATAAGATATTAAGTCATTTGGATAGCTATGCCTCCAGTATTCTAGTTTTTGTTCTGGGTTTTTACTCACCTAGAATGTCATACTAGTCTCAACTTTATTAGCCAGTTCCATAACAATTAAGTTTAGAAAAGAACTACTAATAATTAAAGGAAGACATCCTATCATAATATTGCTTACTATGCTTATTTTTCCATTGTATGAAATTAATACATTTTCTATATAACCTATAACGTCTATAATCTTTACATGTCTCCAGTATTAACAGGGAGCTAGTAAGTTAGTCTATTATTCTTAGTCTTTTCAAGGACTTTAATTATATTGGTAATACGATATGGCAAAAACAGTTTTACTTTCTATGATTTGAATGATTCATGTTTATGTGTAATTCATGTTTCTTAATTCAAGATTACTACTTTATTTCTGAGGGGTAATTATTGTAAAAATACACTTAATTCTTAATTAAGCTGACTTATTTACTTTTTATAAAAACTTATATACAATTTTTTAAATTTTTAAATTTTTAAATTTATTGCGGGGAAGGCTGACCATGGGACTAAACTTCCAAATATGACTCAGGAAAGATAGACTTAGTACCAGGGGAGGCACCCCAGAGAAGCGATGCTATCTCTTGTTGCCAGCGGGAACGCCACTTATGGGGAGGGGAGGGAACGTGTGAAGGGGCCGTAGCCACTATTGAGCATGTGTGGAGGAAGGGGTCTGATTTGATGAGCCAGAATGGGAACCAGGAGGAGACCAGCTGTTGGTGACGCGGTGGGAGATATCCAAACATCCACGCTTGAAAGTGGTCCACCAGATGAGACCAGAATCTGTGGACAGCTTCTGGTAGGGTGGGGATGGAGCCAGCAATGGCATCCAAGACAATCGTATGGATAGTCCACATGGCGATTGCAACCACCAGAGCACGGAGGGAGGGTGGAAGGGGGAGGCCATTGATGAAGCAAACATATATCCTGACAGACTGAAGGGATGCGTTTGATCCTGGCCTAGCAGACGTTGGACTTCGCGCCATATCACTTTAGAGGTGGGGCACTTCTCCAGGCGGTGGAACAGCGTTCCATAATGGCCACACACGACACAGGATGAGTGTAAAGCGTTAGAGTGCTCAGCTGTACGATACACCCGCCTCAGGCAGCGCTACACATGGGAGCGGACTTGAGGCTGCAACAGAGGATGGTGTGCGTATTTCCAGATAGTCTTTTGGGTCTCAGTGGAATAAGGGATGTCCATCATGTCCAGGTAGTCCACCCTGGATAGGACATGGGGTCTAATGGGGATCACGCCAACATGGATGGGTAGCCCTGTACCTCTTGTGTGAACTGAGGAGAGAGGCGGCCTCTTCAGGTTGTATGTCCACTAATACAAATTCTCCACTCTGTGCTTCGCATGGAGAGTAGGATTCATTTGTAGTGGGTTTTAGTCCTGTGAGGACCTGTGGCCGATGTGTGTGATGCGAGGTATTTCATCAGGAAGTGGGGTTTGATGGATTGTTGAGGCCCAAGGCTCAGGAGAAGTTGGAGTGGGCCGCGCGGGACCAGTGTTGGGATGGGAGTGTAGGAGCAGTGACAGCCGCGATCCAGGTGCCCAGGATCTTGGCATCATGGGCTTTGAAGTCAAGCAGGCCCATGCCACCTTGATGATGAGGGCCAAACATGACCTCTAGCCGTACTGGTGGAGGGCGGCCTGACCAAAGCCATCCTTGCAGCAAAGCATACAGGGATTTGAAGAAGCTTGGGGAGAAGGGGATGGCGTGGGCTCCGAACCAGACTTTGGATAGGAGCATAGAGTTGGCAAGAACAGCCCTGTCAGTGAGGGTAGTAGGGTGGGCTCTGAGAGAGGCAATTCGCTTCATCATGTTGTCCAGTATACGGCACTCCATTACTGCTGACGCATATCTGCCTGCCTCCATCCACACGCCCAGATGGTGCACCGGTCCTATGGTAGGACGTGGCATGAAGGGGAGCACCAGTGGAGCGGTGTGTGTTGAGTTAGTAAGGCGTGGACGTGGGCGAGCAGATGGGCTGGGTTGGGAACTGATTGCTGGGGCCCAGCAGTTCTGAAACTGACCAAGGAGGATGATTTCAGTTTTGGAGGCGTTCAGTGCCGCGTTGCTTACCCGGGAATATTCCTGGATGAGGGCTTCAAGCACACGTGCATCTTTGTTATTAGACACCCCCACCACGCAATCATCTGCAAATGCCATCATCTTGACTGGGGTTTGGCCTGGAACATGGACCCCAGTGAGTTGGGCATTCACATTTCGCAGTAGTGGGTCAAGGCTGAAGTTGTATAAGAGTGGGCTGAGGGGGTCCCTTGTCGCAGGCCCCTTTGAGGGTGGACTACTTCCGTTAGGAAGCCTGGGCCATGCACTGCCATTGTCGCAGATTCCATGAGCAGCATCACCCAGTTTATGAAGTGGGGGTAGGCGGAATTGATGGAGGCAGGCCTAAGGTATTTCCAGTTTACTCTATCATAGGCCTTTTGTTGGTCCAAGAATACAAGTGCCCCAGAGGCTGTGGACTGACATACATTAGCCACAGAGTGCACGTTATCCCAAATCGACCTTCTGGGGATGAAACCGAATTGTTCTGGGGAGATGGTGGCAGATGCTACAGTCCCTAGATGGTTAGCCATGATTTTTTGTTAAAATTTTGGTGTCTGCGTTTGTTAGGGGAAATGGGGCGCTAGTTGGCTAAGTCAAGCTTATCCCCTTTCTTGAAGAGCGTGACAGTAAAGGCCTCATGTGTCCTGGTAGGAGGCGCGTTTCCAACAGGCTTTGGTTAAGTGAGGCTAGCAGCAATGGGGATATATATTTGAAATATTTTTTGTAGAACTCATATGGAATGCCATCTGGGCCTGGGCATTTTTGGTTTGGCGCACCACAAATGGCTGTCTATAATTTGTTCAGAGTAATTAAATTCATTATTTCCGGGTATCAGAAAATGGTGCAGATATGAGCTCAGTTAAGAAATTCCACCATTTCAGCTGGCTGAATTGGTTTGGCTCAGTATAACTCAGAGTGATATTTTTGCATTTCGATTGCCACTTCAGCCAGTGTTTCCGCAATGGAATTATCTGATCTTTGCACCTGTGTGCAGGCCACACTCTGGCGTGGTGCAAAAAATTTTTAAAGAAGTATGCGGTGCCCTTGTCGCCTTTAGTGATGCGTGTGGCCCTGTATTGGACACAAACCTGATGTTTGTGTTGCCTTTCAAGTGCATTGAGGTGGGCGGCTGCCTCCACCCACTTCTGGCCCCATGCAGGGCTGTATCCTGTGGCTGGAATGTTGGACTCCAAGTAGGCCAATTCTGCCAGAGCGCGAGATAACCACCGATGTGGCTCATGAGCATCTGGAGGAGAGATGGCAATAGTGGCGGATGGTGTCCTCTTTGAAAGTTGCCCATGTAGAAATGGGGTCCGCACAAAACGGTGCAAC